TTAGGCGGATGTCCAATATTTTTGTTTTTGTTTTTTTATTGATTAATTAATCAATACGATTTATTTTTTTAAAAAAATTAATTAAACAAATTTATTGATGTAATTTTTGTATGATAATTATAATTTTTATTGTGATTATTATTATTTTTGTGATAATTTGAGTAATTAGTATTATTAGTTATTTTTGTGAATTTTCTGTGTTTTTTTTTAAATTTCAGATTTTTAAGTTTATCGAGCGTGAAATATATTGTAAGTGTCTAGTAATTTTTCCGTATTTTTTCCTTAAAATACGGAATTTTAAAGAAAAAATGCGAGCGACGTCTAGTAATTTGGGAGCGACGTTTAACAACCCTCATAATTTTGGAGACGGAGGGAGTGCTCTACATAGCGGAGTACAGAGACTGATGACCTTAACAAATGAAACGAAATCCACGACACAAGTGCCATACAATTAATTGTTCTCCACCTTTATACAATACTACGTATAAGCAATCAACTTACTTTTTAGAAAGAAGATTGAATTTTTTATTATTGATATTTTAAATTAAATAGGAAAAAATGTTAAATGATAAATGCAAATACAATCCTTCAAGCTGCATGCAACGACTAAAAATGAAATACTTCGTATAAAGTTATACGAAGTATAAACCATCAACTAAAAAAAAGGAAAAAAAAGTTATATGAGGTATAAATCATCAACTACTCTCAATAACGTGATTTAATCATTCATTTCTAAATTAATATCAAATTAGGAAATATACTTGTATTAAATGCTTATAACTTCGCATGATATTTTTAATATTAGCTCTTTTCTTGCCTCTCCATTCTAAAAACAGAGCATTTAAATTAATAACAAAATGATTTCTCCAAATAATTTCGAACTCTAACCCCTAAATGTATTGTGCACTTGGAAACACTGCTCCAAGCCTCCTAAGAATGCAGTTACGGCACCTGAAAGGGTCACAAGGAGTCGGACTCACAACAAATCGACTGATCTTTATGTCACAAAGATGCCAATAACTCGACTACTCAGACAGTGAAACTTCAATTCCCAGCAACCATATACCTTCTTAACTATGTCATTCATTAACTTCGCTAATAATGTTACTAACACAAGTACAGGCTTGGCCACTCGAGAGACACTCCTGGTTAGTAATTTTTTCAGGAAGTTGATTTTCTCACATAATCTAATTTCCTAATACATTGAATGAGTGTTGTTTAATGGGTCAGGAAAAATTAAACTTCCTAACAAGCTTAAAATCCTATGTTTTAGTCAAACAAACATCAGATTCTTCCACTTCTCATGTTTTTTCTGTTTTTTTACTCCAAACAATGAGCCGATCATATATATCATTAGCTCATAAGTCAGGGGATAGATTTCTCAGTTTCTCTCCTTTATGCAATCTATCTTTGGCTGCTCTTTGCTTGTTTAGCAAAAGAATCAGCTCCTTTTCGTCTCCTCTTAACCAACACTTCCGTTGTTGCATCAAGTATACAATATCACCTACGGAGTACTTCATATGATTCATGTTGGAGGAAGGAATAAAACATTACATCATTAACACAACAGAAGAGATAAAATGCAATTCAAATTTGGGTTCTTGGGTTCACTTAAATATCTTTGTACTCGGATGCTCATAGGTGCATATTCGCTTTCTTTGTGTCACTTTCTAGGGTGCAAAAAACATGTGCAGCAGTACAAAGATTTCTGAATTCTTGTAAACTGAATCCTACTTGGGGATTATTTGGAACGGTGAAAATCATTTAGGGGAATCCTGGAGTTATTAAAAAGATTATAGATGGGTGGAGGCGATGGTAGTGATTAAAAGCGCCTGATTCCACTGCAAATTTATGAAACTCTCCTAAGAGAACAGCAATAATGTAGTAATCCCATACGTAGCCATACATAGACTATTCCTAACTCCCAAGTCCTTAGAAACCTACACGAAAATAATTCTGATATTGAAATAGGCATATCAAGCTTTAGTGTAATCAAATCATAATAGAGAGGTACGGTCCGTGCGGATCAATACATATACTGCAATAATCATAGTTTAAAATTATTGCTGATGAAGACTACATATCCATAGTTTAAAATTTATTCCAGAGATGGGCAAAAAAAGACTTAATTTAATGGGTGTTTTTCTATATGCAAGCCATACATGGAACATTTTGGGATGATCCTAAGTAGATAAGGGGATATTTGGGGAAGAAAATCTCTTGATATAGGGTGATTTGCCCATCTCTGAACAGAGTAATCATGATTTTATGGACACGGCTGAAAACATAAGAGCATTGACACATAATCTTAGCCAAAAATACTTTTTACTCACCTGTTATTTACTTTCTCACGTCTCCCCCAGCTTCATGATTTCGCTTGTCAACCTCCATATCTCATTACAAGCTGAGAAAACCTATATCATAAAAAATTCTTGCATTAGACTTGCGACTAACGTTTTCATTGTATTTGAATTTCATGGATGTTCATGTCCAATATATTTTTCAATCTCACAGGTAGTTTTACAACACCGTTGTGCACCAATTGTGTGAGGGGATGAAGATGGCCTCTGTATATGAACCCATTCTTACATGTGGTGCACAACAGCTCAAAAATCCAAATTCATTATCATAAAATAGTACCAAACTATTGGTCATTGAGGTACAGGGTTCGGCGGTCAGCCAGATGCTTAGGCACACATCTCCCATATCAAGTTCATGGGTCTAACCAGCTAAACACACATGGTTGGGGCAGGGGGGCAGGGGGCAGTGGGTGGGGTCATGATCATAGGTTGCACTTGAGTTAGCTGGGCTAGGCTTGTAAACACAGGCCCAAGTTAATCATCAAAAGAAGGGAGTGCCAAAATTATGCCCTGATAAGATTCGTCCACAAATCTCATATCTTTGTATTCACTATGAGACAAAGTGGAAAAAAGACTATGGTCTACTCTAGTTTTTCATCCTTGGCATCAAAGTAGAGAGAATAATCTCCTCTACGTGCTTCAAGATGGAGACATAATTAGATTCGAAACAAAACCATTTCAATTCTTTCTAACAAACAAACAGGAGTAAGAAGATCTTAGCTTAAGCCTAATATACCCTGCATTTTTTTATTTGTTTAACCTGCAAATATCACTTAACCATGCACATCTGCACATTCATCAGACATCATTGGTATATTACAGTACTAGCTTACAGATAAAATTAGTGACCATAAAATATGCACGAGTAAAGAAGACGTAGAAGATAACGAGATTCGAGATATTAGCATCATCATCATGATCAACCTTAAGGACCATTGTGGGTGGATATCTCTTTCACATTTTTAGATCCCTCTTCCTCCAATGGTACACAGGTACAAGCTCCACCCAGTCACCCACCTTACTCTCTTTCCTTCATGGAAAATGAAAACCAATCAAAGTGTCTATCCTGCGCAAAATTATATTCTTCTAGACTAGTCCAACAAATTAGAATTTAATTAGAAAAAATATCAAGATTAGCGCTACTTCCTTGTATCTAATGTTCCTTTATCCTCAAGGCGTCACTAGAAAAGCACAGATATATGAATGAAATAGATTATATAAATCAATATAAGCTCTATTCACAGACATTATCCTCTTGAATTTTTCCTTATCCAGATTCTCTCCTTTCTCTTATAAGCTTCAATATCTGATTTTTACCAATAACAAATACTCATTTACTTATGCATCAATACGCAATTAATTATTTAGGGAGGGGAGTAAAGTCAACAATAATATGATTTCATGTACCCTATTACCTTACACACAAAACAAAAAGGAAATCTAACCAGTCATTTAGAATTCTAGAAACCTAAAGTGGTATGTGTCAACGTAAATGTAATATTTGTTTACATACATACATATAAGATGGTCACATACTTGCAAATTACTCTGAAAGCAAGTCAGGAATCCACTTGGACATATTTTACTAATAGGAAAGCAAACACCATTAAAATGTCAAATTATAAGTATAGGCTATGCTTTATTCCATACCTCAGCATTTGAAAGAAGTATTTCATGTTTTAATGCCTGAATAGAGACAAAGATGTACTTGAATTTAATTGAAATGAATGGACAGCAGTCGTTCCACTTAATAAAAGGGTTAGATGCTACAAGCAACTTGCTCAAGAGAAAATAAAATTTAAAAAATCATCCATAATAGTTTTACAGTATATGCCATATGTTTCAACAAGAAATAAACTACTCGCTCACTGAATAAATGCACTCCATATCTTGATTGAATGAAAGGAAGTGGAAGAATAACAATCTGCTCAGATATAAGAATCACAAGCGAGAAGATCTTTGAAGATGTGATGTGAACCCAATTGAAGTGTATTAGTTCCCATATATGGTATCTATGTATGATGTTGCCTAAAGGAATCATGTAGCTAGGTAGGTATAAAAGGTTATTTGATCCGTACAAAGTGGTGAGCAAGACCTTTTTGAAGCTTTCTTCTCCAACCACTAAAACCACCTAAATACAAAGAAAGTGGAGTTATTCTCCAGTGTAGTGCAGCAAATTAACCAGTACACACGATTATGTCAGCTGAAGTCAGATATTGATGCTTGGTTGCTAAGAAGATGCTGCTGCTCTCACTTGAGCAATTCATAAAAAGAACAATTATATTATGATAATGATCTCTAGTTTAGCTTTTGGCTTTTCATTATCACTCCATTAGATTTGGCTCCTTGTCCAAACACTAGGAGAGCCAGAGAGTGAAGCCATAAGGGTGTCTATTCAGACTCCTTTGCCACAGGTCATTACCCTCGCTGTTTCAATAAGGAGAATCTACAGAAAGCAAATTTCGGATACAAGTTGCAATACATTTGTACTTCACATAATCAGCTCTACCATGAAAATAAATTTTTTGATATTTAGTAGCATATTCTTTATTAGACTGCATCTAGGATTATACACAGTACCACATTTAAGTCCTGGGCAAGTGGATTGCATCAATATATGTGAACTAAACCCAACAAAAAGTTTAACACAGGCCACTGGGAGAAAAAGAGGAGATATTTACCAAAAAATAGGTTGGAAATCAGGCACATTGAGTTGGGTATCATTCTGGGGAACATACCAAAAAAAAACAGCATGGAAATAAATGACGAGGGTTAATGGAGAATACACTAGTGGGGATTAAATTATCATCAGGAAATAAAAAAAACTAGGAAACTTAGCAACTAATGATAAATGCGAAGAGAATTAGTCTGCTATTATATGATAAACAAGATAATCTGGCTCAGGAACAGTATGTCCTATACAGACGCTCGTTGGCCTGATCAATTTGTGGTTTCAAAAGAGGGAAGGGTCACCACTTGGAATACCTTTTGCAGGATTCTCACAGCTGGGACTAACCCCACAAACAACTTTTCCTCCAGTTTATAAGGAGGTAACTCTGTTAATCTCAAACCATTCCCATCCTCAATCCAAGGAGTCTTCCTGTACTAAAGTGACTAGTCCTTTTATCCGGTCACAATTCTTTTGCTGCTCAATTCCTCCTTGAACGTTTGGATTGTCAACCAAAAAAAAAAAAAAACCCCTAACCTCATTCGTCCTATACGTCCAGAAACACCAAGACTTCAATAAGTCATTTTACAGTCACAGATGGCATCATGCAGTTCCAACTCCTCATGGACAACCAAGCAAAACAAACTGTTCGAAAAGGCCTTGGCTTTATATGATAAGGACACCCAAGACCGCTGGCAAAAGGTAGCCAATGTTGTTGGAAAATCTCCAGAAGAAGTAAAAAGGCACTATGAAATTCTTGTTGAGGATGTTAAAAGCATTGAGCAAGGTCAAGTCCCATATCCTTATAGGTCAACTGGAAACAATGGCTAAACATCAAAATCTGCAAATGAAGGTAATCTTAATCTTGCTCTTGACTGATCAACTAAAACAGCAATCACTTGCCACCATACATTGCATGCATCACAACTCATGCAGTCATAACTTCCTAAATTAATTCATATTGAATAATTGTCATTGTTCATAGGCAATACTTAAAAGCATAGGATCTTGAGCAGCTTCTCCTTTAGTTTTGAGAGAAAACAGATCACTCTTGTCTATCCACCTTCTAACAAGCATGATAATCAATCAACTACCTTAAACTATACGTTATGTACTGCACATGAGGATGTAACCATGAAACAGAAAGAGCACTGGAAGTTAATTTTATGGATGCCAATCTTGTATTCCATAATACATCATACACGTAAGTACTTCCTTAGTTCCTGACCACAGTCCACAGTACATGCAACTCCTTATCCTGTCCCAAATCTGATGTGAATCGAGTCCCCTTCCTTATAACTATTTTTATTGCTTTATTTAGGTACTCTCTTGGTTTTACCTTACTCTTAAAGTAGGGGTTTTACAAGTGAGTTTTTAATAATGTTTTTATTATTTTCTTAGTAGTAGTTATGGGGCCTTGGGCTTCCAAAGTTGTGTTAATTAATTAGTGGGCTCTCTTGGTTCATTAATTAATTATTAGGGCTTTTTATTTAGTTTGCTTGCAGGGCAAGTAGGATAGATTTATTTTTCCTATATATACTAGTTGTATGTCAATTATTTTAACAGGATGTTTTATGAATTATAATTTGAGATTATTGAGCTTTTGCTTGAAGAGAACTTTGTTAAGGTTCAAACTAGTTGTTAACTAGGGTTTTGGGATCGTTACTCCTAAAATCAAACTTAGAAGTCGTTGCCTTCTAAGACTATCTTTCAAATTTCCACCATTAAAATCACTCAAATCCTTCCATCAAATATAAACCGTCAAAATACACATCAAATTGGTATAAGAGCCAGGTTTGTAAGTCCCCTCCACTTACACGATCGATCTTGTTGATTGGAAAAAAAAAAAAAAACATTCGTACGCCAAACGGATAAATTGCAGAATTCATCGGTTACTAGTTTGTTGTGCAAAAGGTACTCGTAACTCCTATTTTATTTGTTGGTGAGTGCTTTTTAATTTACTTGGTGAGTTAACAGACTTGCTTCCAAAATATTGAATTAATTTTATTAAAAGTTGTGTCATCAATCATCATTGATTTACTTTGCTGCCAAAGATTACACTACATTGCTATATACGTGTCTTCATTAAGTTTGTGAAGCAAAAAGTACTCTTTGGGAATTCAGTTAATTGATATCGTATAATTGTTAAAATTGTGGTTACTTATTGACGCGCGCATAATAGTTGTGGACACAGGTTTTATTTGTTGATGAGAGAACTTGAGACTTGTGTTTAATTTTCTGAATATTATTTCGACATCATGAGTACTTTAACAAAGAAGGATCTTGATACTATGCTTGTTGATATGATGAGAAATTTTAATGCGAGTCTTGAACGAATGAATGAGAAAATTGAGAAGAGTACACAAGAAATTGCTCAAACCAATCAAAGGGTTGAAACTTTGTCTACTCAAGTGATTGGGGAAGGAAGAATAATCAACAACGAACAACCTAGGGGAATCATGAGAAATTTTCCAATTGACAATGATCGAGATTTGAAGTTGTTGGAACTTCCGGAATTTACAGGTGATGGGGATGCCGAAGACTTTTTAGATTGGGTTCGTCAGATGGAAAAGGTCTTTGATTATAAAGGTTTTGATGAGCAAAAAGCCTACAAGGGTGCAAACCTAAAACTGACGAGATATGCTTCTCTATGGTTTGAGAATTTACGTGCCAAGAGATTGAGAGAAGATGAGCCACGAATTAATACTTGGAACGAGTTGAAGAGACAATTAAGGAAACGGTTCCTACCACGAGAATTTATCCAAGATCAATTCTTGAAGTTGAATCATCTTGAACAAAAGAATCTTAGTGTCGCTGAATACACTAAAGAGTTTGAGAAATTGTGCATGCTTTGTGATTTGCAGGAAAAAGAGGAGATGAAGATTGGACGATACATAAAAGGGTTAACACCTTCGATTTCTCACAAGGTGGAAACATCAAATTATGTGTTCTTTGATGATGTCTTAAGGTTGGCAGAGAGATTTGAGAAACAGGAGAAAGAAAAGAAAATTTCTTATTTCAAGGAGAGGAAGTCATTCTTTAATGGTGAGGGTTCGAATATCAACTCTAACAATTCAAACAATGAAGGGAAGATGATTGTTGTTACTCCCGAACAAGCTGCATTGGCAAAAAAAGTTTGTTTCAAGTGTCAAGGCATGGGACACATTGCTAGAGATTGTGGTAACAAAGTGACGGTATCCAAGAAGGAACATAGAATGTTGTTGGCTTATCTTGACCAAGAAGAGAAAGAGAAGGAGAGTACATGTTTGCTCAATACAGAGGAAGAGTTTGATTTTGAAGAGTTTGAGGGTCAAGAAAAGATTACTCCTGAACCTGAACATCACCATATCGGTATCTTAAGGAGAGTTTTGCATGCTAATTTTGTTCCTCCTACTACACATGAGCAAAGGGAAAATTTGTTCCATACTATATGCAAAGTGGGTGATAGGAGTTGCTCGTTGATTATAGATACGGGATCGTGCACCAATGTTGCATCTACTAAGTTGGTTGACACTATGAATCTTTCTACTAGGGACCATCCTACTCCTTACAAGCTTAATTGGTTACATGATGGAGATGGACTACAGGTTAAAAGGCAAGCTTTGGTGAACTTTTCCATGGGTTCATATTCTGATAGTGTATGGTGTGATATTTTACCTATGACTGCTTGTTCTATACTCTTGGGTCGTCCTTGGCAATATGATCGAGGGGTGTTATTTAATGGTGTTACAAATGTTTATTCAGTGAAGGTTGGGGATAAGAGAGTCCAATTACATCCTTTACCCCCTAAGGCGCCACCTATTCAAGCTCCTGCTAGAGAGTTGTTGATTATGCCTAAACTTAACAAAAAGGAAAGAAGGGCTAATATGTTGTCATTGAGAAACCAACACCCTTTTGAGATTGGTGAGTATGTTTTCTTATCTTTAAATGCTCAAAAAATCTTTAATAATTCTAGAGGTAAGAATGAACCATTAGAGGAAGGACCTTTCAAGATTGTGCATAGGGAGAATTATGATACTTTTCAAGTACTTCTTGGAGCGGGAATTTGCGCTACTATGAGGGCTAGTGACTTGGTACCTTGTCTTCCGAACGAAACTTGAGGGCAAGTTTTTTTTTTAAGAGGGAGGGAATGATGTGAATCGAGTCCCCTTCCTTATAACTATTTTTATTGCTTTATTTAGGTACTCTCTTGGTTTTACCTTACTCTTAAAGTAGGGGTTTTACAAGTGAGTTTTTAATAATGTTTTTATTATTTTCTTAGTAGTAGTTATGGGGCCTTGGGCTTCCAAAGTTGTGTTAATTAATTAGTGGGCTCTCTTGGTTCATTAATTAATTATTAGGGCTTTTTATTTAGTTTGCTTGCAGGGCAAGTAGGATAGATTTATTTTTCCTATATATACTAGTTGTATGTCAATTATTTTAACAGGATGTTTTATGAATTATAATTTGAGATTATTGAGCTTTTGCTTGAAGAGAACTTTGTTAAGGTTCAAACTAGTTGTTAACTAGGGTTTTGGGATCGTTACTCCTAAAATCAAACTTAGAAGTCGTTGCCTTCTAAGACTATCTTTCAAATTTCCACCATTAAAATCACTCAAATCCTTCCATCAAATATAAACCGTCAAAATACACATCAAAATCCCTCACTAACTACCAAAAAAAAAAAAAAAGAACTCATTTGACATTCAAATAGATTTTGGATAATATATCCTGTGTTTCGTGTGCTTGCAACTTGCAAATCCAACCAGCTTATCTTTTAAGATTCCTAATAATTAGATGGACTAGAATGGATGATGATACTCCAATATCACGTATCCAACGCCTTTTCCTCTTTTCGCTTTATAGTTCCTAGTCTTTTATAAAGTAATGGAGAAAATATAAAGCTAACCATTTGTCCACTGTTTTATCAACCCAACATAGCACACTTTTCACAAGCATCAGTTCTAAAACTGAAATTTGTGGCATACTTGGTAGTATATAAAACTCAATTAAGCTGCCCTTTCAAATACCCACCAGCTAAAGTTGCTAATAACCCATAATTAACAGCCAAATTTTGATTAATTTTCCTACACTAATATCACATGCATGGTTATTTCTTATATTCTTTACATTTTATTTTGTAACTGAAAAGTATTTCATTTGTTTGGGTGTTTAACAGGCTATATGCTCAAATTGCAGTAATGGAGTTATAGTAACTAAATTATCCTACCATGTGTAAAGACGGTGAAAGCAGCATTCTGTGTACACCCATCATAATTATTCCAAGGAAGTTCTCTTGTGCAATTTATCAGTCAATTTAAGTACATTTCCAATTTTCAGTGCAATTAGCCAAGAATTATGTGTATTCCATTATCAGATGACTAGTAATTGTGTTCTTAATTATTATGTGTATACCATCATCAAATGATCTATTGTAATTGTGATCTTATTTATGTAATGTAATGTTTGTTATTCAGTATTAATGAAAATTTTGGGTTTTGCTATTTTACCAACAATTTCACAAAAACAAATGAACATATCAATTATAATCCTCAGTTCATCACATAGTATTGCATAAAAATAAAAATAACAAATAAAATAATAGGCATAAACAACATAATTAATCATGGAAAAAGAAAAAAAAAAAAAAAAGAGGGATCGGAAGATGAGGGTTTACCTTTTACGGATGAGGAATAACCATGAAAAGCGGTCTTTTGGGGAGAACAACCGAATTGAATATCCACATTTCAGACGAAGCGTAGCACAAGTGCACCACTGAAAGTTTGCGAAACCACCTTTTCTTCTTTTCTTTATTCAATAAAATACTTTTAAAATATATATATATATTAGAAAATTCAAGTTTTTTTTTTTTTTTTTTTTTTTTGCCTTACGCATACTTCGGGAGATTTACCTAAAATATTGTCCACGTAAGATTGGTAGAAATTTTGTGCTTCTGCTAACGATGATAGTGGTTCTATACTTATAAAACCCTAACGTCGTTAACGGTTCTTGTCTAAGGAAACCTCACAGGTTAAAACCAAATACAAGAACCGCTAACAACGTTAACAGTTGTATAAGTATAGAACTGCTATCACCGTTAGCGGTTCTTTGCTGAACCTAAAAATAAAAAAATAACACAAAGCTTCTATCAATCGAATAAGTTTTAAAACCGACGCAAATAGGGAATTAATTTACAATTAAGCAATTTTTAGGGAAATCGTTCTACATACTTCGATTAATGGTAATTTTTTAAATTTTATCCTTGTCAAAAAAAAAAAAGTCATTTTATTGTAATTTTGTATTTTCAAGAAAAATGACTTTTTTATAAAACTCCTTTTCCCCCTCAAACCTTCTATTTTAAATTATCCAAAAAAAAAAAATAATAATAATTTTATGCACTATTTACCGTGTAATTGTTATATTTTTACAATTCCCTAATGATAAATAAAAATATCTGTAGCCAAAATTCTATAATGATCAGTGACTAGAGGGGAACAACTTAATAGTTAAAAAGATACATAAAATATTATGTTTTCTGTGGTAAAATTTAAACTCTTATACATATATTTTTTTTCCTTTTTTCTATTGGGGTGAAATTAACTTAGGGCATGAAAATACTTGTATCATTGCAAAAGTAGATTGGATTGAGAAAATGAAATACTGAATGGTATAGAGTATGAACGCATAATAATTATTGTGTTGAGGTCAATAATACCTCCAAATATCCCAAAGTTAGTACATTTTTTTTAAAAAAAAAAAAAAAAAAAAAAAAAAATCCAATAGAAATAAATGTGTAGAATTTCACTTCTTTAACAGTGCAAAATTTGATGAAGAGCATTTGGCATGCTAATGTCCCTCCAAAAATAAAACTTTTTGGATAGAGATTAATTAGGGATCGGAGAGCCTTGCGGTGAATACTCAACTTAAAAGGAGAGGTTTTTTAACTGATGCTACTTGCTCAATGTGCGGTGAAGGTGAGGAGGGCGTGATGCATCTCATTGCTTAATGAAGGGAGGTTAATTAAGACCCCCAGGTTAGATGTGGACTCAATAGTGGGTAAGAGCTGGGCTGCGTGGTGCAAAATCTTCGATTGTTAATTAAGAATTCTGATTGGTGGATTTTTTTTGGAGTCTTGTGTGGGGAACTTGGTTGTGACACAACAAGTGGGTTTTTGACCGGAAAAAAATTGATGCAGAGGACGTTATTTGTAAGGCAGTGAGTTTGGTTGGTGAGTATGAGCAGACAACGAGTGTTGGTATTGTTTGAAAATGGTACTTACAAGATCAACTCTGATGTGGCTTTTTTCTCATGACCAGTTCACTGGACTGGGAGGAGTTTTGAGAGATAGCCATGGAAATGTAGTTATGGCGTGCTATGTGAAGATAGATAAGAGGTAGGATGGGGACGGATGTGGGGGAAGCAACCGCTAAGAGGCACTCGCTAGTCACTGCAATGGAAGCGGGGTTCAAGAGATCTATTCTTGAGACAGACAATATCAAACTTTTTAATCACTTGAAGAAAGCTCACAAGTCTTCCTCTGAATGTAGCTGTATTGTTGATTACATTTTGCGTTTGACTCATGAGTGTCAGATTGTTTCCTTAGAGTTGCCCATTGTCTAGCTAAGTTGAGCTTTACTTTTGATAGTTGGTGTGTGGCCGGAGGAATATCCTTAAGAGGTTCACAATATTGTAATGGCTGACTTGGAAGCCCTTGAATTTTAATAAAATGTTGTTGCTTTTCGTCAAAAACAAAAAAAGTTTGTAAATGTTTCGAAATAATTACCTTATGCAATCTAGGCAAAGTTTTCATAATTTTTTTTTTTTTTTTTTTTTTGTAATATGTAATTTAAGATTTTAATCACAAGCAAACAAAAACTAAAATCATGTTATCATTTTATATAATACTTTGTTTAAATTGAATGTAACTCAAATTGAGTTAATACTCTTTCCATTTCTAAATATTTATCTTATTTCCCTTTTGCACAAATTTTAATGTTATTATTGTAAATAAAATATCTCTAGCTGCTTAGTACAAAAAATATATAAAAATGACATATTTCCTCTGCTCACTTTTTTGTTGCAATCATTGGGAAAGTGTTCTATTCACGTTATCTTATTTAACCACTCTATTGATTTATTGTTAAGCAAAATATAGTCATGTGAAATTTTGTTAGGTTCGTCACGATCTATATTTTCATATTAAGCTTTATATGTTTTCCTTATCTAATAAGAGATTAAAATAGTTGAAATTATATATTGACAAGCATAAAAAGTCAAAACGTCGCAATTAAAAAATAATTTAGAAAATAAAAATCGAGATGAATCCAACAAGACCCCACAAGAATATTTGTTTAAACTATTGAAAATCGTGAAATTTATCAGATTTTAGTTTTAGATTACCTCAAATACCAACAAAAGAAGCTGGCTTAAATTTATGTACATAGGTGGACACAATTATTGATGAGGAATAAAGGAGAGATATAAAGTGAGCAAGTGGGGTTGTAAGTGGAAAAATAGTACCAATTAGTAAAAATAATAATGCCATGTTACAAGTTTTTTTTTGACAAGAGCCATGTTAGAGCACTAGCAATGGTGAGGAATTTTTTTGCTCATGAGCTTTTTTTGTGAGGAAAAAAAATTATCATCAACCACAATGGTGAGAAATTGGTGAAATGCAAAAAAAAATCCCATGAGCAAAACCAAAAAAGCTCAAAACTTGAGCATTTTTATTGATGAACAGTAACCCTTGTGGGGCCCACACCTGGCTGACCAACCAAAAAAATTCGGACAAACAAGCATCAAAACGACGCGTTTTGATGAAGCTCCCTCAAAGGCGCACCTCAAAACGCGTCATTTTGAGGTTGCGGATTTTTAAAAAAAAAAAATCTTGAGCATCTGACGCGTGCAGCGAGGGAACGAATGTGGATGCGACACGTGGCGGGTGCAGTTTGCTAGCCAATCAGAAAATACTAGCTGTTTTCAACGGATATATATTTTTGTAATCTATTTTCTGAAAAATATATTTTGTAAAAAAAAAAAAAAAAAATTACCAACGGTCATAAAATTAAATTCTCTATAAATAGACATGCATTTTGATATATTTTGATATAATTTCATAAACACTTTAAATCCTCCACATTTTAATTTTCTTAAAAGTATTTTAAATTTGTAGAAGAATACTATTGTTGCAATTCACCCATATTCAGGTAACAATTTTTTTTTTTTAATTTTTAAATTTTTTTTTTATATTATTAGTATATATGTGATTTTTTTTTAAAAAATAAAATTGTAGGCCATGTAATTATTTTGCAATATGTAATTAAACAAAGTTGTGTATATTTTCTCCATAAATTTCTAAATTTGTAGTTATTAAAGTGTTGCAATTATTGATTAATTTTTTTTTGCTATACATAAATGTAGTTACGTAATAAAATTAGTATATATGTGATTTTATGGAAAAAAAATTATAGGCCACGAAATAAAATTGCATTATGTAATTAAACAAAGTTGTGTATATTTTCTCCATAAATTACTAAATTTGTAGTTATTAAGGTGTTGCAATTATTGGTTAATTTTTTTTGCTATATATAAATGTAGTTACGTAATATATTTAGTATATATGTGATTTTTTGAAAAAAAATCAATATTATAGGCCACGAAATTATATTGCATTATGTAATTAAACAAAGTTGTGTATATTTTCTCAATAAATTTCTAAATTTATAGTTCTTAAAGTGTTGCAAGTATTGGTTAATTATTTTTTTTAATATGTACATGTAGTTATGTGCTAAAATTAGTATATATGTTATTTTGTGAGGAAAAAAAAATATTGTATAGCATGTAATGTAATTGCATTATGCAATTGAAGAAAGTTGTTGATATTTTTTTGGATTTGTTATCATTTTAATTTGTTTTTTGAGTAAATGTTTGTAACGATATTTATCTTTTGTTTTTTGATGCAGAATCTTTTAATGGATCCAAACAACCCAAATTTCCGTCAACAATTTTCGGGTTTTAGTGATGATTTCCTAACTAATCCCGAGTTTCAATTGTTCTTGCAAAGAATGGGCAATATGTCTTCGCAACCACCTCCACTGCATCAGACACCCACTAAGGTTCCCCTACAAAACCCTGCTAATGAAGATCGTACATCTGAAACTGATCTTGGTAGTAACACACTCTTCGATGAGAGCGAAGAGGAAAGCGTACCAGAGACGTCGCAGTATCCTCCTCCACCAGTTCGCATACTGGAACCCAACCAGGTTCCTGCACGAGCTACCCGTATTTGGTCTGTTGCGGAAGATGAAGCTCTGATTGGGTTGTACTTGCAGATTAGCGAGGATGCTATTAAAAGTACAAGCCAAAAAGCAACTAGCCTATGGCGCAATGTACACGCAGCATATCAAACTTTGCATACGCAGAAGCCGCATATAATTCCGCCAAGACCTATTAAGAGTCTGACGTCGCACTGGAGAAGGTTGGCAGCGGACACACTGCAATGGATATCTTGCTATGATGAAGCAGGTAGACTTCTGGAGGGAGGGAGTGGTTACAATGAAGCTGACCGTATGAAAAGTGCGGCGAAGCTTTTTCATGTCGCCGAAGGTCGCAATTTCACTTTTCCTCACGCAATTGAAATGCTTAACAAGGATCCAAAGTGGAGACCAAAACTGAGATGGTCAATGTCATTGAAGGAAAGAAAAGCCGCTTGTGATGATGAGGAGCAAGGTAGTGCTGGAAGTGGGAAGAGGTCCAGAGATGATGTAGGGGATGAAACCCCTACATATGGTTTTTCATCTGGCGGTTTACAACGACCCGAGGGTGTCAAGAAAGCAAAGGCGAAGCGTAAAGGGAAAGCAGTAGCAACAGAAAGTGGTTCGTTTGAGCTTAGCGAACGAATGAAGGAATTCGCTACAATTCGCGAGAGGGAGGCCATTCTGAAGGAAGAGAGGATCAAAATTGAAAAAGACAAGGAACAGAGGAAAAGGGAGGAACTTGACATTCATAAGATGAAAACCTGGTTTGATATGGTGCAAGCTCTGAAGAATTCGCCTACGCCACTCACTCCTGAAGAAGAGTCGTACAAGAATTTTTTACTGGGTAAATTACAAGGCTTTTAAGCATGTTTGGTTGTAGTCTTTTATTTATTAAGCGCAATTTAGTCTTTTATTTTTAAGTTGTATTAGTGGTGTGGTTAATTTCAATGTAAGATGTACACTTGTATTCTGATTTTCCAATATTGAATGACAAGTTGTTTAACAAGTTTATTTAAGTTGCCATTCATACCGACATAATTGCTTTAAATCTTTGTCATTGTGTAGTCACATTTTTCTGATTTCACTTTATCAGAATGCTTTACCTTTGTGTCATTGATACCGACATAATTTCAATATTTCTTTGTCATTGTATAACCACGTTTTCCTATATTCACTTTATCAGAATGATTTACCTTTGTGTCATTGATACCGACATTATTGCACTCAAAACTTGTCACTGTCAACTAGCATAGTATACCTATTCCGTGGTTGAAAATTTGATTCCTTTACTTGGTGTGGTCATTCAGATTTGTAACCACATATTCATTTGATATTTTTGCTATATATAGTAGGCATGGCACATATCCACAACCACACCCATTCATCAAGTAACAATATTAATACGAGATGTATTCTAGACCGTCATCAAGCTCAAGTTCAAGCTCATCTTCTTCAAATACTGAAGAATATGATCAACTTGTTGATGAACTCTTCACATACCAACCCCATCTGTCCTCATGCCCCAAACACAATCCCAACACACTTCAAAAAAACCTAGAGGGGGTACGAATAGAAGAGATAGGGAAATTGGACATGCCAGGTTGTTTAATGATTACTTTTCCGATAATCCTGTGTACAACACCACCCAATTTAGAAGAAGATTTCGTATGCAACGACCTTTGTTTGTACGTATAATGAACAAGGTCGTTGAAGGTGATGTTTACTTCCAGCAGCGTAGGGATGCAACTGGAAGGTTAGGTTTATCACCTCTGCAAAAATGTACAGCGGCGATAAGAATGTTAAGCTACGGCATGGCTGCGGACGCCGTGGATGAATACGTTCGGATCAGTGAGTCAACCGCTCAAGTTGCCCTTCAACGTTTTTGTACCGGGGTCATTGATCAGTTCGGAACCGAGTACATGCGAAACCCTACAACTGATGAATTGGCCAGAATACTGCATCAAAATGAACTGCGTGGTTTTCCAGGCATGATAGGCAGCATTGATTGCATGCATTGGGAATGGAAGAACTGTCCAACGGCTTGGAAAGCGCAGTACGCCGGTAGGAACAAGAAAGCAACGCCAATACTGGAAGCCGTTGCAGATCAGGATTTATGGATATGGCATTCCTTCTTTGGTATTCCTGGATCTTGTAATGACCTTAATGTGTTATACCGTTCCCCAGTGTTCGATGAGGTTCTGCATGGTCGAGCTCCTCCGGTAAATTTTACCGTTAACGGCCATGAATACATCATGGCATATTACTTAGCCGATGGTATTTATCCGAAGTGGGCAACTTTTGTTCGGGGTATCACAACCCCTCAACTTCAAAAAGATAAATTGTTCGCTGACCACCAGGCTGCTGCTCGAAAGGACGTTGAAAGAGCATTCGGTGTTTTGCAAGCTCGATTTGCAATAATACGAAAATCGTCACTGGCGTACGATGAGGACATACTGCGAGACATAATGAAAGCATGTATCATTATGAACAACATGATTGTTGAAGATGAGCGCCACAACTACACTCGAGCCGAAGTTCTAAGAGCCTTCTACGAAGAAGATCAACAAGAATCAACACCAGCATCAACATCTACAACGCCACCGTTTGAATTCAACGTAGGCCGACCTACCAACTTTGACTTCAACGCATTTCTACAGCGAAAAGCTTCCCTCCGTGACAGAGAAATTCATCTATCTCTGAAACGTGATTTAGTCGAACATATTTGGCAACGATACGGGCCACGTAATTAGGGAGAAATTAGCACGACTTAAATAAGGCCAAGTACTATGGCGTAGCTACTTTTCCGTACGCAGTCGAGTTTTTTTTAATTGTTGTGTTTATTTTATTTCCTAAGTTTAATTACGCATGACGTTGCAAATGTAATTGGTTTATAGTATTGTACCGCTTTTAAAATAAATAAAAACATTTAAGAAATTTTGAGCTTTTTTTACAATTATTTCATATAACGTACTTAATTTTACGACAAATTTTAACGATAAAAAAGACAAAAATAAAAAAAAATAAGTTACACAAATTTAAACTAGTTTTTATTTATTTGGAGTAATATTGTTAAAATATAAATGAAATTAATAAATAAAGAAGTGTTGTGTAGGAGAGAGAAAGTAATGGTGGGGTATTGAAAAAATAAGAGAGAGAGTGGTGGGTGAGCATTTTTTTTGCTCACTATTGGGAGAGAAAATGTGAAAAAATTTGCCCATGAGCAAAACTGATTTGTTGAGAGAAAGTGGGTAGAGAGAGAGTGGGTGAGCATTTTTTTTGCTCACCATTGAGAGGGGTCTTACTAGTTAGCCTACTAAACAAAGTTTGATTTAGTGAAGTTGTAGGATAAAACTCTAATAAAAATATTTAGGTGAAAATTCGGCTACCCTTTTCTCTAACTCTCAAAGATCCAAATCATGACGAATTACCACGTGAGAGGTTCCGACCAAATCTTCTCCTCAAAAAAAATACGAAGTATAAAAATTGTTAGCCTAAATGCTGCTACCGCACCTTTATAAAATAAAAAAAAAAAAAAAAATGTTGCTACCGCCTTACCGGTGAAAAATAATCCCCACTAACGCCGTCACAATGCGGGTCCCCCCGACAACCCTTTCTTTTTCCCCAAGTCCCACATTCTCAAACTTTCAGCATCATTCTTCAACCCTCATTTCCTCTGCTTAAACCCTAAACCCCTCTTTTCCTCCCAAAACAATGGCTTCTCACTCATTTCTTCCTTAAACCGCTTCAAACTCCATTAAACCCTAACAATTTCTCTCTCCTCTACAATGTCTTCCATCAAGCTATCAACCTGCGCAACAATGGCGACGGCAGCTGTGGCCGCCGGATTTTCAACGGCCTCTAATCCTTCCTACGCTGAAGGTTCATCTTGGTTTAATCCTTTCTCATATTCCCGATCTTCGCCGGAAAATGACTCCAAATCTGATGATAAAACCTCTCCGGCGCCGGCGAGTAATTCCGCCGACGATGAATCGAGTGGTCGGTCTTCTGGATTCGATCCTGATGGGCTTGAGAGAGCCGCTAAAGCTCTTCGTGAAATGAACAGTTCTTCGTATTCTAAAGATGTTGGTACTTCTAGGTTACTAATTTTTAAATTTTTTTGAAGTAAATATCGATTTATTTGTTTTTGGTGTGATTAATTTTGGTTTGATGTTGTTTGAAATAGTTGTATCGTATAATGAGGGCGCAAGAGAAAACGAGATTGGCTGAGTTGGAGAATGATAAATTAATGATGGAGTTGCACCAAATTAAGCGTGACATTGTGAGTTCATTTTTTGCAATTCTTTGTTTATATTCAATTTGTTGATTATATATTGGATGATTTGCTCAAACAACTGATAATATTGAGGATATAATCTAAATTTACACGAGCATTTGTCGATTATTGCTTTAGAGAGCTGCTAGTATAGTATAGTGTACAATGTGCTATTATCGAATTAAGAGCGGAAGTAGTTGTAGGAATTTGACTCCTTACCCCTAATGGTCGGAAACGTGTAGTATCACTTGATTCTAAATTTCTAATTATTGACTGATATGTTGACAGAAATTGATTTTAGTGAAGTTTCGTATTCATTCATAATTTCATATGCAATGAAAAGCACTTGATTTCACCAGTTTAGTCTTGTGCCAGCAAGGTGTTTTTATTCGAAATTGAGAAATAGACAAGGGAGCCAAAATAATTCTTGCTACTAGTTCTGTCCTGAATGGCAGATGAAAGTTGGCAAGTTTTGTAATGCCATCTATTTGCTCCTTCAAGCCATATGTCTTCTTCTCAAAATTTGACACTTGAGAATGAAGGCAGTTGCCTGATACATCATTAGTTTTGTGGAATCATAGAAACAATCTGTGATGGACTTCTTAAACGGGAAAGTAATTTCTCGCCTTGGTTTTTTCTGCCAATCTCACTTGACTCCTCCTAGTAGAGATGTATGGAGGTGTTACAGTACAGGTGCTTTTATGAAGAATTCAATGCTCCATCTGCTGCTATATCAATTCATTTGTTTGAGTTTCTTAATTTTTTATGTATTTATTGTTTTCTCCCCTGATGCTCTACCTGTTCACCTTGAACATTGGTTAATTAAGCATAATGTCTTCTGTAATGCCCCAAAAGAGAATGCTAGTATGAGAGGAGTTTCTCACATTTGAGGCATTGTATGTTTCAATCTACTTTTCAATATCATAGCTTGTGAACAACTCTGCCATTCTCTAGCTTTGTAATTTCAGCTTGCACAAGAGGTATATGATTATGTATATGAAATAAAATGTATTTTAATGCTACAAGCACTTAACAACAACCCCTTGTTTGGCAGGAGGGGCAGCAAAATATGGCTGAAGAACAAAGACGATTGGTTGAAGAACAGTCCCGGGTGTTAGCCCAAGTAAAGCGAGAAGAAGATAAGATGGCCAGAGATAGGATGCAGGTGGGTTAAACAATCTCTTTCTTTTTACACAAACATGTGCATATGGAATTATTAAACATTGCCTGCTAAATCTTCACCTGTACTTTTCTTTTCTCTAGCTTACCAGTATTTAGGATGGAAACTTGTTTATTATATTCAGGTTGCATTGTGATGTAAAAAATCAACTATCTCAACGTCTGTATTATTTGTCCAAAAAAAAAAAAAAAAAAGTGGGAAGGACATAGTTTAATAGAGAGTCGTAATTCTTGCAGAGAGAACATGAAAAACAGAGGCAAAACAATGCTGAAATGATAAAAATGCAAGAGGAAGCTGCCATACGTCAAGAACAAGAAAAGCAAAAAACTGAAGAGCAGATTCAGGCTCGACAACGCCAAACTGAAAAAGAGAGAGCTAAAATTGAACAGGAGACTCTACGTGTCAAAGCCATGGCAGAAGCTGAAGCCCGGGTTCACGAAGCAAAGCTGACTGAGGATTACAACAAGAACATACTCCGAAAAATGATGGATGGCGAAAAAGACAAGTGGCTCGCAGCAATTAATACAACCTTTAGTCATATTGAAGGTTAATATTCATTTATTCTCACTGATATATAGCTGTAATCAAATTCTTCTGATAGTTGGCCTGTTAGCTCTCCTCGTTTCCCTTTTCCTTTTATGGGAAGGGGCAAGGATTGTGCTGGACTTGTGGGGGCTCTTTTTATTATGGAGTCCATATCCTTGATGTTTATCCTAAAGATTTCTTTGTCAGCCTAGACTTTTGCTTCTCCAGTTTGGACATGTTTGTGAGTTATGTGTCATTCTTATAATTTCATGCTGGGCTTTAAACCTGATGGAGCTTAGTGAATGCCCAGTTGGAGTGTGTTGCTTTATGTATTGATAAAATATGGAAAAACTAATGAAGTTAGTTTCTATTATCTGGAGATGTTTTAGAATTAATCTTATTTTAGCTGTTATTGGTATAAAGTAAACTTGTTAATTTAGTTTGGCTACTAGAGTGCCAATTTATGTACATCATTTTGGGACCTTTCTCAAATCTTAATTTGAGGGAAGTCTAGATTGTAGCATTTGCCTCGAGCAAAATAGCTGCTTATAATGTGTCATTCAATCTCACAAAAATTGTTTGAAATAGATTTTTTTTTTATGCTGTAGAATTCTTGGCATTTAAACTTGTTCTTCTATTGCTAGAAATCTTTTGGTTTATTTATATTTAGAAGTGTGAGGCGTTCATGCAACTGTTATGATAGACCAATGTCTTGAAGAGTTGGGGTGAAGTTTAGGGCTGTTGGTATGGGCTTTATTAAACAAGTGGATGAATATCGTGGGGAAAAAAGTGAAGGTACATATTTGTTTCAAGTTTTCAAATTTCAACATCCAAAGGGGGTTCTCTTAGTTATGGCATGTTTGTTTTGTCAGTTTCTGCTGTTAATTTGCTTCTTTTTTTTTATTTTTTTTTTTTTTTTATGATGCTCCATATATCTCTCCTTCCCCCTCTTAATTTTATAGTGATCATGGCTGTCTCTAGTATTTTGTTCTTGCAAAAATTAGCCCTAGATTCTCTTTTTCTTTGCATATGCTGTATATTCAATATAGATTTTAACTGCTTTTGCAGGGGGTCTTAGGGAGTTATTAAATGATAGGAGAAAGTTATTTATGACTGTTGGTGGTGTTACTGCTCTTGCTGCAGGAGTGTATACGACTAGGTATCTGCCCTAACCTTATCAATTATAAATGTCAATTCTTGGTGATTGTTTCAGCATATATATTCTTGCAAAGCATCACAGGTTCATTTAATGCTTTATGGAGTTGTTGGAATAGAAACACTGTAATAGCTATGAAAAAACCTTAAAATTAATGGTAGTTTTGCATTGTATATGGCTTGCTCAGGATTAATTTGACTTTTGGCCAAGAAAACCATAATATTGACATGTCCTTGCATATGAAGTTCTGTAGCTTTCATAGCGACTGAGAGTTTTTACACTGCATGTGGTCTCAGATACCTATATTTTCTCTGTTACGGAGAAAAGAAAGGGTGCTGTCATTTGTATAGACTGTTCTTTTTATTTTTTTTTATTTTTTGTTGTTTAGAGAGCCACAAAGGTGAGTGATGAGAATCGATCTCAGGATCCTCGAGGACCGGGAGGGAAGCTCGAGCTATCCCTCACTCTCGTCATTTCTGGACTGTTCTTTTAATAGATTTGTGATGTATGATTATGCCTGTGATGTTACTTCATTAATTTACCATAGAGCCTGACATATGTGCTTTGACATTTTTCTCCATGGGAATTTTTTTTATAGTAAATGACATTATGTTTA